CACCACTATGTCCTCACTCCCATGCGCATTTATTTATCACCAGGAGTGAATAGTCTTATAACTTATAACAAAACATCAATGTTGCATTTCTCTTGTATTTCATTTCTGTAGAATGACATAAAAAACAGTGAGATTCATTAAAAAATATAAGTGGTTGAATTTTAAGTAAGAAATCCTCTGGGAATCTAATTTGCATCAAATCTACATTTTGCTTTTGTGCTGTCACAGTCATTTGTTACTACTTTCTAATTTTTTAATTTCTCCTTTTCTCTTACGTGTGTTACATTTCAAGATAAGTTGCTACTTCAGAGACTTCCAGGAAAGAAAGGAAATTCTTTTAGGCTTAAAAGAGGAACCTTGCTAATGTAATGTTACTTGGCATTCATGTGGAACATAAATTATACCCTGCAATGTTTACCCAAAAGGGTTAAGACCAAAGAAAGAATCTGCCTGCTTATAAGAAAAAAAAAAAAAACAAGAAAAAAACGCACACATTTCCTGAGTCAAAGAATCGCCCCAAACTCGCCCAGGCACAGCCTCCGCAGATCACCCACCATCATCAGCAGCATATCAGATGACATTACGGAACAATAGTGAACTCTGCAGGGCTTGAATATATTGTTTTGAAAGAATACACTGTCATTAACTTGAATAAAGCTTTCTGAAATCAAACCTGTGGGTACAGCCCTCACTGTGTGGCCCTTTTACTACTTTGAGAAACAGCCTCATCCCAAAAGCAGCAGAGGAGGAAAAAAAGAGATTAGGAATAAAGGCAACAGTGATGAGTCACCCCTGCCCAGTCCTGCAGGCAGATGCAGGGCTTTATACCAGGCGGAACAGCATCAAAGCAGAAGGCTCAGGACTTCCCTCCCTGGCAGTCCAGTGTTTAAGAAACCACCTCCCAATGCACGGGACGTGGGTTCCATCCCCGGTCGGGGAACTAAGATCCCACATGCCATGGGCCAACTAAGCCTGCACACCGCAACTAAGACTCGACACAGCCAGAAATAATAAGTAAATAATTAAAACAAAAAAAAGGCAGGAGGCTCTGTAAGGAACAAGGCACCTGAAAATCCAAACCAGCTGACGGCCATCACCCTATTTCCCTTTACAGTCTCTTGATTTTTACCATTGGTTTCCCAAGAGTTGGAAACTGAGTTTTGTATTTTTTTTAAGAAGTATAACTAACTTCTAATACTATATTTGTTTCAGGTGTACAACAATGATTTGATATTTTTATACCTTACAAAAAGATGACCATGATAAAAAAAAAAAAAGATGACCATGATAAATCTAGGTATCATCTATCAACAGAGAGTTATTACAGTATTAACAATTATATTCCTGATGCTGTACTTTACACCCTGGGACTTGTCTATTTTATAATTGCAAGTCTGTACCTCTCAACTTTCCCGACAACTCCCCTCCCCTCTGGCAACCACCAATGCATTCTCTGCATCTCTGAGTCTGAAACTGAGTCTTATTCCATGTACAAAATAGTTAAAACTCGATATCCAGATGCCAACTTGGGATGGCAGTTCTCTAGGCCGTGAGCTGAAGCTCTCTAAATGCCAATGTTTAATCTAGAACGTGGAGAGAACAAAGGACATCCCTGGCGGTCAGGTGGTTAGGATGCTGCACCCCCAATGCAGGGGGCCCAGGGTTCAGTTTCCGGTCAGGGAACTAGATCCCACATATCTCCGAGGAAAATTCTGGATGCTGCAACTAAGACCCATTTCAGCAAAAGAAAGGAAGGAAGGAAAGATAGAAAAGAAGGGGAGGAGGGGAAGGGGGAAGTGAGGAAAGAAAGAAGGGAGGAAGTGGGGAACACAAAACAGGTGAGACACAGTGTGGGAGGTACACTGTGTACCTCCCAATTAGCTACAATTACTGTTAATACCATGACCGTGCTTACTGTTTCCACCCACCTGTCCCCCTGGCCTACCTTTCTAATCACTTTCCGAGCCGTTTCTTCTTCACGAGTGAAGCGCGAGCGGTAACGTAAATGTTCACTGGCTTTTTTCGTTTCCCTGCAGCCTGGCCACTGCCTCTTGTTGCTGTTTGTTTTCACATCACACTCAGCACTCTCATAAAGTGATTTTTCTACCTTCAGGAGCCAAACCCCAAGATTCCTCTTAACTACAAGCTACTTATGGCGAGCTTTCCTCTCTCCGGCACCTGTTCTCAATGATCTCAATAACCACGGTTCAAAGAGGTGAAGAACAAAGCCAGGGCAACATAGCCAGTTGGTAGCCAAGTCCCGATTAAAATCCAGGTTATGGAAGCCTTGTGAACTGTTGGTGAGAATATAATTTGGTGCAGCCACTATGGGAAAACAGTACGGAGGTTCCTTAAAAAACTAAAAATAGTGCTACCATACGATCCAGCAATCCCACTCCTGAGCATGTATTCAGAAAAAACAATAACATTAAGTTGAAAATATACATGCACCCAATGTTCACAGCAGCGTGATTTACAAGTAACAAGACATAGAAACAACCAAGTGCTCATCAACAGATTACTGGATTAAGATGTGGTGATGTATCTACAGTGGAATATTAGCCTTAGAAAAGAATGAAATGATGCCATTTGCAGCAACGTGGATGGACCTGGAGAATATTATGCTTCATGACAGAAGTCAGACAGAGAAAAGACAAATACTATACGATATTATGAATATGCAGAATCTAAAAAAGAATAAAAATGAATGTCTATGCAAAACACAAGCAGACTTACAGATGTAGAAAAAAAACAACTTGTAGTTACTAAAGAGGAGACGAAGGGGGGAGGGACAAATTAGAGGTATGAAATTAACACATGCAAACTATTATACATAAAATAGATAAGCCACATGGATACACGGTATAGCACAGGAAATTATGCCCATTATATTGAAATAACCTATAATGGAACATAATCTACAAAATACTGAATGATTATGCCGTACACCTGAAACTAACAGACTACTGCAAATCAACTACACTTGGATCAAAAATAATAAAATCCAGGGCGCAATGCAACCACGTCCAGCTGTGTTGCATTAACTGCAGTGCACTAACTATTCACTCCCAGGGTTCCCAGAGACGATTTTAAATCTGAGGTTAACTTGCCTTGACACCAAACCTTCTTGTAGATGCTTCTCCTACTAGTCAACTTATCATAAAGTATGAGTTAGTTCAAATGCTCAAAGAAGAAACAGTAATTCCAGAAAAATATTAAATATATCTCAAAGTTGGGGGGGGGGGCAGTTTTAAGTTTTTTGTTTGCTTTCAGAATTTCCTTAAAGGGGGACGGGGGCTTTCCTTGTGGCTCAGACATTAAAAGAATCTGCCTGCAATGCAGGAGACCCAGGTTCGATCCCTGGGTTTGGAAGATCCCCCTGGAGAAGGGAATGGCTCCCCACTTCAGTATTCTTGCCTGGAGAATCCCATGGACAGAGGAGCCTGGTGGGCTACAGTGCAATGAGTCACAGAGAATCAGATGCAACTGCGTGACGAACACTTTCACTTCTTAAAGTGGGGACAAAAATAGATCACACCGGCCTCAACCAGTTCTATAAACGTAAGATGTTTTCTATATTATACTACACCAGGTTAAGTAAACCAGGGTAGGTCAACTAAATCATTTATAGTTCCTCATTTTTTGTGAGGAGAGGAAGACAGAAAGACTTTGGGAGGAGAAACGGCATAGTTAACAGGAAGAAGAGGCATGATCAGGGTGACTGTGAGCAGCACTACTTGCAACTCCAGAAGCGATCAAGGACAGGACACAAGTGTCCACCTCTAAGTTTCTAAAGATAAAGGTGTATCTTTTAAATCTGATTGCACAAGGATATATGAAGATGGAAAATTCATTAATGCTGGCTTCTTTGGAGAATCACATACTCCTTAAAACAACAGAAACTAATGAGAAGATGGGTAACAGGATACAACGTGCTGTTTTGTGTAAGAACCAGACGAGTTTACTGAAGTCTAACAATGAGGCCTGTGGGGAAAGACTGAAAGCTTGTATTTCCTCATCTGTAAAGCAGATGAAGCACTGGGAAGAATGAGATGGTACATGGATCATTTATAAAGCACCATTTGGGTTTATTTTTGTTTTTAAAGAATAGCGTGAAATAGTGTAACTAGTAGATTTGACATCAGTGATACAGGTTGAAGTTGAACCTCTATCTGCTAGTTGTCTCATCAGGCACAAATCATTCAAACATGTGTAATGATGTAAGAACTAAAGAGTTAATATATATGTTGTGTAGGGGAAGGAAACTTTTAATATAGATAGTTCTATAAATGTAAGATGTTTTCTATTATATTGGACCAGGTTAAGGAAACCAGGGAAGGTCGACTGGATCATTTATAGTTCCTCATTTTTTGTGTGGAGAGGAAGACAGAAAGAGTGATTCTTATAGCAAAAACCCCATTCAGTTAAGAGAAAATCACTGGTCTTTGGGACACCCACATATACTTTGTAAGTGTGCTAGTTGCTCAGTCGTATCTGACTCTTTGTGACCCATGGACTCTAGTCAACCAGGCTCCTCTGTCCGTGGAATTCTCCAGGCAAGAATTCTGGAGTGGGTTGCCATGCCCTTCTCCAAGGGGTCTTCCCAGTCCAGGGATTGAACCCAAGTCTCCCATACTGCAGGCAGATTCTTTACCATCTGAGCCACCAGGGAAGCCCAGAGTGACCTACAGATATCAATGAAGTATAATTGTTCTATTGTGTCAGTTAGGATCTCTGTTACCTTACTGACTTTCTGTCTGGAAGGTCTGTCCCCTGATGTCAGTGGGGGACTTACTATATTCAATATCCTGTAATAACCTATAATGGAAAAGAATCTGAAAAAGAATATACTCACACACAAACACAACTGGACCACTTTGCAGTATACATGAAATCTTGTATATCAACTATATCAAACACAATCAAACAAATCAATCAATCAAACACAATCTTGTAAATCAACTATACGTCAGTAATTTTTCTTTAATGCAAACCCTTACCTTTCAAGAGTGGCTGGAAGGTTGGAATCTCTTGCAACTTGATGACATCAGGATCGTTGCTGACGTTCCTTGAGGCCTGGGAGCCTTGAGCTACAACCACAATATCGTCCATCTTGGCTCTATGCTTAGCTGGAGAAGGGGTCACTGCAAATAAAGTTACATCACTCAGGAGTTGCATGTTATTTAGCCACCTCTGTCTCAACAAGGCTGTTTTCACTGTAGTCATTAAAAAGGACATTCTTACACACAAAAAAATGCTAACCATACTTACCCTGTGGTGGGGGCTGCGATAGCAGAGATGAATTACAGAGGACCTCTGTTTTCTATGGTATTAAAAAGTCCTCAAACTTTACAGGGACATATGCCACCTATTGGAGAAGGAAATGGCAACCCAGTCCAGTATTCTTGCCTGGAGAATTCTATGGACCAAAGAGCCTAGTGGGCTACGGTCCATGGGGTCACAAGGAGTCGGACACGAATAAGCAACTAACACATACGTGCCAACTATAAAAGTGCTTTTGTAACTAAAAGTTTATTCAACACACAAGCAGGTTGTTTTTAATTTTTGTTTCTTTGATCCTCCTTATGTTTGTCCCTATTTCCCAATGAGAAAATAAGGGTACACAATTTAGCTGTGACTTACTCAAGGTCAACAGTGCTAGAGACAGAGTTAAGAAGGGAATGGGAGGTAAATGGATTACTAGTATACATAGCCCCCATCCCTGCCATGCTGGGGTTGCAAAGCTGTAGCCACCCTACCACAGTAAGCCTGGTATGTTGAATAGATCCTAGTTACAGCAAAAAAACAAACCCTGATTCTCAACCCTAGATGACCACACCAGCTCCCTCACCCCTTAAAGTCACAGGGCAGAAAGAACCAGTGGGACAACAGTAGGCTGAGCCAAAATTAAGAAATTTGAAGGATTGCTAAAGAGGCAGATCAATTTCAGGTTTCTAGGCAAATGTAATCCATTTAGAAGGAAGTGATTTAAGGACACCCCAGACCAAGACATCCTGCGTTCCCAAACATCTTCTGGTTGGGGCAAGAATGAATCTTTATTGTTTTACACTCTAGAAAGTAGTATTTGCAGGCTTACCATAATCATGACTCAAAGGTTGATCCAAACATGCCATAGAACCATCCTGCCTCCTGCAGGATAAAGTCTGTGGAGGCTTGGCCTTCACTCTTAGAATCTCAGCTGCTTTCACTGCTCTTCAAGAAATCTCTCTTAGCCTCTTTTGGTAATTTACCTAATGTTTTTACAAACCTCAAGTCAGAAATCTTTCCTGGGACAAAGTGATTCCTCCATCCCCAGGCTCCAGAGGAAAACAGACTTCACTCGATTCTAGGTAGCCTCTACTACTTGTCTGTAAAATGTGGCTACTGAGAGGATTAAACATGAACACATGTGACGCACTTAGCCTATACTATTCGGCAGTATTAGATAGTATGAGCTGGTACTGGTCAGAGCCCATGCTGCTGGTTAGAAGGCGAACAAGCCTATTAAAAAGATGACACACTTCTTGCAAAATATGATTCTGGCCTGACACAGAATCATAAAGGGTAACAATTATTACCGTATTTGTTATAAGATATTGCATTCTGGATCTTCCAAAGAAATAAAAATGTAGCCGTAGATACTGCTCACAGTTAAAAGCTATCTCAATCTAGCCCCCAGAATGGTCTGAACTAGCCTTGAAGGTCACATTTCAGTGTGGAATACCTCTAGCTCTGTTAACTTCTATATTTCTGAATTACACGTCCTACCAAGGTCAGAGCAGGCCCCAGATATAAGCCAGTTTCGATTAACCACTCCAGAGCTTATTATCCAGGGCAGCCCCAGTGGTCCTAGGGTTTGGTGTGTAACAAATAAAAAATAAAGGCGAAAACGATCCTCAATTAAGCATCAGCTGTCTTATTAACTGACCGCTCACTTCATTACAGGAACAAAATTCCTCCCATTTCTACACTGAACTCGAAGAGAAATCTAAAAAAATATGGACAGGGAAAGAGTAGGGCAAAACATCAGAACTTGCCTTCATGACCAACTTCTATATGAGAAAGGGAGCCGAGACACCATTCGATGGGAAGATGCAGTTTCTGGACATGTTCGTACGCAAGGGTTCAAAGCGACGTACACCTGTCACACGCCCCTTCTGAAAAGGAATTTCTAGGACCCACTTTTAAGGAGGAATCTGTTCTTTGAGATTGTATGATCTATCCACTGTACGACCGCAATCTCACCTCGACAGTCATGAATACTAAAGCCAAATATTAATTAGATCGTCTTTCAAGGAGTAAGCTGCAGCTGAGACAAATAGCTGTTTTGAAAATCAAAAATGGGCTTGGGCGCCCACGCTGGCTTAGCTTGCAATCACAGCACTGGGTTCCATCAGGGAAATTAAGGCTAGGACAAATAATGGCTTTTTTTTTTTTTTTGCTTTTTTAAGAAAAAAAGTACCGCGAGAGCTTTCTGTGCGTTCCCGTCCGCCGGTCCCGGTCCCCAGCACGCTGGGAAGGCAGCACGCTGGGAAGGCAGCCCGCCCGGCAAGCAGGCAAGGCTAGCTGGAGGAGGGTGGAAGTAGTTAGGTCACCGACCTGAGGAGTTCAGATCGTTGGGTCGGCTCTCGGCCTCGGAGCTCTGCTCACTGCCCATGGTGCCGGCAGCGGTGGCAGCGGAGGAACGACGGAACGGGCGGCGACCGCTCAGGCGGAGGGGCGACAGAGCAGGGACCGGGGGACCAAGATGCGGAGGCTACACCGGCTGCGATGTGGGGATAGCGCGCCCAGCCCACGCGTGGGCGCGGACGGTGGGGACGGAGAGGCCCTATTTGGGGAAAGGCTTGCCGGGAGGAGCCGCGGGAATGCACGCCGCTCGCCCGCCCGCCTTCTTTGGGGAAACCAAAGGCAAGGAGGCGGGTGAACGCCTGGAACCAGCCACGCCTGCAACCAGCGGGCGGCGCCGCAATCACTCACTCGCTCCAGGGGCCGCAGGTTCGTTCCCTCCGCGACGCGGATTGGCAGCGACGGCTGCTATCGGCGGTCAGTTCCGGGTTAGAGTGCCCCACCCCCTGCCCGAGGGGGCAGGACAGCGGGCGCAGCCTTAAAGGGCCAGATCGCCTCAAACGCAGAGCCGCTCCTAAGATTGAGTCGGTTCCTATGGTAGTGATGCGATTCACCTTTAAGCATCATCTACACGCTAGGCACGTTACCTCTATAGTTAGAAATTTACTAATAGGTTTTTGAGGGGTTTGTTTTTGCCTGTGTTTGGGTTTGCTTTTTTTTTTTTTAATGTATTCTCTTTTTCATTTTTAAAAGTGACATTTGTTTATGTTTGGTTGTGCTGGGTCTTCCTTGCTGCGGAGGGCTTTCTCCAGTTGCGTGGTACAGCGGATGCTCTTTACTTAGGTGCCTGAGCTTCTCATTGCTGTGGCTTCTCTTGTACAGCTTAAGCCCTAAATCACTGGTTCAGTAGTTGTGGCGCATGGGCTTAGTTGTCCTACAACTTGCAGGATCTTCCCAGACCAGGGATTGAACCCATGTCCCCTTGCATTGGCTGGCAGATTCTTTACCACTAAGCCACTGTGCTATGCTTAGTTACTCAGTCCTGATCGACTCTTTGCGGTCCCATGGACTGTAACACACCAGGCTTCTCTTTCCATGGGGAATCTCCAAGCAAGAATACTGGAATGGGTTGCCATGCCCTCCTCCAGGGATCTTCCCAACCCATTGATCCAGCCTAGGTTTCCTGCATTGCAGGCGGATTCTTTACCATCAAAAGGGAAGCCCTTTTGATATTTTTTAAAATTGAGATGTAATTGGCATATAACATTATATTAGTTTCAGATGTACAACAGTATGACTTGATATTTGCATATGTATGCTGCAAAATTTTAAATCCTCTTTTACAGATGGAAAAAGGGAGGTGCTGGATAGACTTAGGTTTGAAATCCACAACATCAAACACAAAGTTCCTATTGTAGTTCCAAAAGCTGGGAGTTTGGCCAGTGGCAACCATACAAAAAACCATACTAGATGGTGTAGGAAGGAGCTGGAAATGAGAGAAGAATGAATAGAAAATGCTGATTCTTGTGTTAGGGTGTTTGTGCATCTTCAAAAGAAAGTGGATGCCCCAAGTCTACTTTCTGGGAACCTTGACAGTTACCCACAGGCATTCTGAAAGTAGAAAAGGCAAGAGGGAAGTAGAGATAATGTGTAACAGAGACTGTCAATGTTGACAGGTCAAGGATGTCAAGGTAGTAATGCTTTCCCATTCAGGAGTTGGGTGGCTATGGCATTTTCAGGACTTTAGAGCTCATGTTGTTTCACAAAATTTTCAGCTAATGCCCTGAGTTTTCAAATAAACTATGATTTCATAATATATATATAATGTATATATTATATATATATTTACAAATTGAGTCAAAATGTTATTTTTTTAATTTTTAAAAAGTTTTTATTTTATATTGGTGTATAAGCCAATTGGGCTTCCCAGGTGGCGCAAGTGGTAAAGAAGCCGCCTGCCAATGCAGAAGACATAAAAACTGCGGGTTTGATCCCTGGGTTGGGAAGATCCCCTGAAGGAGGGGCATGGCAACCCACTCCAGTATTCTTGCCTGGAGAATCCCATGGACAGAGATGCCTGGTGGGCCATAGTTCATAGGGTTGCAAAGACTCGGACACAAGTGAAATGACTTAGCATTCATAAGCCGATTAACAATGTTTGTAATAGTTTCAGATGGGGAAAAGGGGAAGGCGTGAATAGGCTAATCACAGGATTTGGGGGGCAGTGAAAATACTCTGTATGAAAACTGTAATGGTGGATACATATCATTATGTATTTGTCCAAGCCTACAGAATGTACAACACTAGGAATGAACCTAAGTCAACTAGAGACTTGGAAGGATTTTGGTGGGTGAGTATAGTTTCATTGTATGCACACATGTGTGAGCTCCATTGCACGGTTGTGTCTGACTCTTTGCAGCCCGATGGACCATAGTTCGCCAGGCTTCTCTGTCTATGGGATTTTTCAGGCAAGAATATTGGAGTGGGTTACCATTTCCTACTCCAGGGGATCTTCTCAACCCAGGGATCGAAACTGTGTCTCTTGCATCTCCTGCATTGGCAAGTGGATTCTTTACAGAGCCACCCGGGAAACCTGTGTAACAAATATACCTCTCTTCTGCAGGATGTTGGTAATAGAGCAGGCTATGCACAGATCGGGGCAGGGCCCATGGGAAATCTCTGTACCTTCTTCTCAATTTTGCTGTGAACCTGAAGGTGCTCTCTTCATACCGTTCACAGTGTTCTTATTTTCTTGGGCTCCAAAATCACTGCAGATGGTGACTGCAGCCATGAAATTAAAAGATGCTTGCTGCTTGTAAGAAAAGCTATGACAAACCTCTACAGCATATTAAAAAGCAGAGACATTACTTTGCTGACAAATGTCCATATAGTCAAAGCTATGGTTTTCCAGTAGTCATATATGGATATGAGAATTGGAACATAAAGAAGGCTGAGCACCGAAGAACTGATTCTTTTGAACTGTGGTGTTGGAGAAGACTCTTGAGAGTCCCTTGGACTGCAAGGAGATCAAACCAGTCAATCCTAAAGGAAATTAATCCTGAATATTCATTGGAAGGACTGATGCTGAAGCTGAAGCTCTAATACTTTGGCCACCTGATGCGGAGAGCCGACTCATTGGAATAGACCCTGATGCTGGAAAAGGTTGAGGGCAGAAGGAGAAGAGAAGAGAAGAAGGACAGAGATGGTTGGATGGCATCACTGACTCAATGGACATGAGTTTGAGCAAGCTCCAGGAGATGGTGAAGGACAGGGAAGCCTGGCATGCTGCAGTCCATGGGGTCACAAAGAGTCCAACATGACTAAGCAACCAAACAACAAGGGTGCTCTTAAAAAACAAAGTCAACTATTTTTGAACTTATGCACCTCCTCCCAGAAATCCAGATTAGACGTCCCCCTCATGAGCTTCCTTAGCTAGCTTTTTCTAATATAACATGTAGTCTTTACACAATCACTAATTTACCTGTGTTTCTCCCCACCGAACTATAACTGAACTATAAGGATGTGTTTCTCCCCACTAAACTATGACTGAAATACAAGGATCTTGAAGGTAGGTGTGTAGCCGAGCAGGACCCACTGGGGCCTTCCCAGGACAGGCCCCTCCTCGACATCCTCTGTGGTAGTTCAGGCATATTTCATGAGGTTTTCAGATGCTAAAAACCACCGCCAACTTCTTCCAAATGGAAGAAATTAACTACTTGATGATAGTAGCTCTTAATCCTTTTGGCCCTAAGGATTGATAATGTTACCTCACCATCAACCAATCAGAGAAATATGCCCAAATGATCACACACCCTAGGACCCTCCGTCACCTGGCCTTTAAAAATGCTTTGCTGAAATCCTTTGGGGAATTAGGGAATTTGGGGGGGTGGGGCACAAGCCACCTGTTTTCCTAGCATGGCCCTGCCGTACACCTTTCTCTGCTCCACACTCCAAACTCTGACATTTTGTTTTGTTTGATCTCACTGTGCGTCGGGCACATGAACGTGTGTTTGTTAACAGTGTCTTATTGGTCTTTAATTTCCCAGTGCAGGTGCTTAATGTATATTTTCTGACTAAAGTACCTTAAAAAAAATCTGCCTCTACATAAATGGAGAGGTACTGTATTGGCAGAAGAGGATTAAGACTCTCTTCATATGCAGTGGAATATTGTATATGTGCGTCAGTCGCTCAGTCGTGTCCAGCTCTTTGTGACCCCATGGACTCTCGCCAGGCTTCTCTGTCGATGGAATTCTCCAGACCAGAATACTGGAGAGGGTTGCCATTCTCTTCTCTGGGGGATCTTCCCAATCCAAAGATCGAACCTGGGTCTCCTGCATTGCAGGCAGATTCTTTACCATATGAGCCACCAGGAAGCCATTACTCAGCCATAAAAATGAACAAAACTGTTCCTTATAGAGACCTAGATGGCCCTAGAGACTGTCATACAGAGTGAAGTAAGTCAGAAAGAGAAAAACATCATATGTTATTGCATATATATGAAATCTAGAAAAATAGTATGGTGGTTTAGTTGCTAAGTTGTGTCCAACCCTTGCGAAGCCATGGACTGTAGCCTGTCAGGCTTCTCTGTCCATGGGATTCTCCAGGCGAAAATACTGGAGTGGCCATTTGCTTCTCCAGGGGCTTCCTGACCCAGGAATCGAACTCAGTTCTCCTGATCTCATTTACAGGGCAGGAATAGACACAGACATGGAGAACAAATGTATGGACACCAAGGCTGGAGGAAGGGGTGGGATAAACTGGGAGATGGGGGTTGACACATTTAAACTATTTTGTGTGTGTCTGTTGCTCAGTCATGTCTGACTCTTTGTGACCCCATGGACTGTAGCTCTCCAGGCTCCTCTGTCCATGGATTTCTCTAGGCAAGAATTCTGAAGTGGGTTGCCATTCCCTTGTCCACACTATTGATGCTATGTATTAAATAGATAACTAACGAGAACCTACTATATAGCTCAGGGAACACTACTCATGCTATGTGATGAGTGAATGGGAAGGAAATCCAAATCCAAGGGGATATATGTGTACACATAACGGACTCACTTTGCTATGCAGTAGAAACTAACACAGCATTGTAAATCAACCATACTCTAATAAAAATTATTTTCAAAACAAGAATCTTTTCAGCAATGAGGTGGCATTTCTAATTTTAAACTCCTGGTCTGTATCAATAGAAAATTTGTCTTTAATCATTGTTTTCATCAATATCTTCTGTTCACTGTCATAACTGAAAAATCACTTAACAATAACCATTCATAGTATCCAAGCCTTGAATCTGAAGTTTCTTTCTTTCTTTTTTTTTTTTTTACAAAAGTTTATTCTTAAATGTACAATAGGTTCCAAGGCAACACGTCATTCTAGCTATAGGTGGCAACAGATATTATGGCAGGGGATCCAGGTGATTAAACAGGAATGGAACTAAAGGTCATCATTGCCTCGGGCATAAGGAACAGCTTACTTTTTGCCAGATTTCTTAATTCCACTGGTGGCCAGGGGGCCTTTCCCCTTGGCCTTTGCTTTTAGCTTCTCGAGTTTCTTCTGCTCCTCCTTCTGCTTCTGCTTGAATGCCTTATCTTCCTCATCCATCTCCTTGGTTTGCTTCTTGGGCTGCTTCAGGGACTTCTTGCCACCTTCGTGGCCCAACATGGCGCCTGCCGCCCCTTCCCCCGAATCTGAAGTTTCTAAGTGGGGAAAGGTCTACTTAGCTCCTAGAGTGAAAGGAGAGTCCAAGAGTGTGACCTCGCTATGTACCGGACCCACATGTATATCATCTATGGAGATAAAACTTCCTAAGCATATCAGTTACTGATTGCAATAGGAAAATTGCTCCAATGGTAATTCACTCTGGAGTTTCCTTTGGTAACCTTTCAAAACAAATATTTGCAACGTTATTGAAATTCAAGAGCAGGTCATCCTTTGGATACAACTAGTTCAGTTTGTTTCACACAACGGGCCATTGTTCACAGGCATCTCTAGCACCACATGCCTCCAGTAGCTATTGGTTAAAACTAGAGCTGTGGTTCTTAGGCCTAGAATAACAATCTACAGCTGCATGGTGCCTTAGGATTGAAAGCTCTTTCATATTGACCAAAGTAGAGATACTGTGAAAGGTTAGAACCTCAGCAAGTTAATTGTCAAAGGTTTAGTAACTTTGCACTTGTTCTCCTGTATATGGGGGTGGGTGGAGCAAGCATTGCTTTATAAACACACTTATAAAACCTATAACCTAGTCTTTCTTTTCCACTCATGCAATCAACGAATATATTTTCATTAAATATTTATTATTATGTGTACGTGCAGGCTCAGTCACTCAGTCATGTTTGGCTCTTTGCAAAACTCATGGACTATAGCCCTGTAGCCAGGCTCCTCTGTCCGTGGGATTCTCCAGGCAAGGATACTGGAGTGGGTTGCCGTTTCCTTCTCCAGAGGATCTTTCCCGCCAAGGGATCGAACTAGAGTCTCTTGTGCCTCCTGCATTGGCAGGCAGATTCTTTACCACTGTACCACCTGGGACACCCTCATTATGTACCAGGTACTATGCTAAATATTAGGGGTGACATTTTAATAATAGACACCATTGTTTTCAATAATAGATACTGTGTGGATCACAACTAACTGGAAAACTCTTAAAGAGATGGGAATACCAGACCACCTTACCTATCTCCTGAGAAACCTGAATGCAGGTCAAGCAGCAATAGTTAGACCCTTACAAGGAACAACTGACTGGTTCGAAATTGGGAAAGGAGTATGACAAGGCTGTATATTGCCACTCTGTTTATTTAACTTATATGTAGAGTACATTATGCAAAATGTGGATGAATCAAACTGGAATCAAGATTGCTGTGAGAAATATCAACAGCCTCAGATATGCAGATGATACCACTCTAATGGCAAAAAGTGAGGAAGAACTAAAAAAACCTCTTGATGAGGGTGAAAGAGAAGAGTGAAAAGCTGGCCAAAAACTAAGATCTTGGCATCTGGTCCTATCACTTCATGGCAAATAGAAGGAGAAAATGTAGAAGTAATGACGGATTTTGTTTTCTTGGGCTCCAAAGTCACTGCAGATGGTGACTGTAGCCATGAAATTAAAAGACACTTGCTCCTTGGAAGGAAAGCTATGACAAACCTAGACAGCATATTAAAAAGCAAAGACATCACTTTGCCAACAAAGGTCCGTATAGTCAAAGCTATGGTTTTTTCAGTAGTCATGAGTTGGAGTATAAGAAAGGCTGAGCACTGAAGAATTGATGCTTTCAAATTGTGGTGCTGGAGAAGATTCTTGAGAGTCTCTTGGACTGCAAGGATATCAAACAGGTCAATCCTACAGGAAATTAGTCCTGAAGATTCATTGGAAGGACAGATGCTGAAGCTGAAGCTCCAATGCTTTGGCCACCTGATTCGAAGAGCTGACTCGTTGGAATAGAACCTGATGCTGGGAAAGATTGAAGGCAGGAGGAGAAGAGGGTGGGTGACAGAGGACTAGATGGTTGGATGACATCACTGACTCAATGGACATGAGTTTGAGCAAACCTGGGGAGATAGTGAAGGACAATAAACCCTGGTGTGCTGCAGTTCGTGGGGTCACAAAGAGTCAGATACGACTTAGCAAGTGAAAAACAACTGTTGTTTTCATCATTATTATTCATACCTATAAACAATAAATCCTGCCGAATCCCAATGCCTTCCTGGAGTCTTGATTTGCACATTAGCTCAAGTATTGCCAACCTAATGAAGAACTCCACGCTTTGAACGATTGAATAGGATTCTCTTAACTATGCCTCATATAGAAGGCACTGCAGACTCTTGAATGTGAAGACGTTTGATCAGAGGTTGCCTCTGGGGAGGAGAACTAGATTGGGACACAGGGTGAGAGGCAGGGTGTTCACTCTACAGGTGTATCTGAGTTCAGCCCAGTTCAGTATCAGATCACCAAAACTAGGCAGATATCTCAATAAAGTCACACAATGGTTTTTTTTGTTTCCCAGTGCCTATAAAAGTTATGTTTGGGGAAGCCCAGGTGGCTCAGCGGTAAAGAATCTGCCTGCCAATGCATGTGATGAGAGTTCGTCTCTGCGTGGGGGAAGATTCCCTGGAGAAGGAAATGGCAACCCACTCCAGTATTCTTGCCTGGAGAATCCCAGGGACAGAGGAGCCTGGTGGGCTACAGTCCACAGGATCGTAAAGGGTATGACACGACTTAGCAACCAAATAGCAGAAGCAGCAACATAAACATTATGCTTACACTGTATTGTAGTTTATTAAGTGCGTAATGGTGTTACATCTAAAAATATACATCCATTAATGTTAAAATGTTGCTTTAGAAAATGCTAGCTATCATCATAACCTTTGGGCTTCCCTAGTGACTGAGTGGTAAAGAATCCATCTGCCAATGCAGGAGATGTGGGTTCCATCCCAGGGTCAGGAAGATCCCCTGAAGCAGGAAACAGCAGTCCACTCCAGCATTCTTGCCTGGAGAATCCCATGGACAGAGAAGCCTGGTGGGCTACAGTCACAGGGTTGCAAGAGTCAGACAGGATTTATTGACTAAACAATAACAATCATCATAACATTTAGAAAGTTACAGCAGCAACATCAAAGATCACTGATGACAAATCATAATACTAATAAACATAATAATAATGAATAAGTTTTAACTGTTGGGAGAATCACCAAAAGGTGATGCAGAGATACAGATACTGTTGGAAACATGGCACCAATAGACTCACTCCAGGCAGGATTGCCACAAATCTTCAGTTGTTTTTTTTTTTAATGCAAAATCTAAGTGCAGTCAAAGGAGGTACGTCTGATGATGTACATTTTGTACTGCTTGACTTCCATCATGGGTTATTTGGCCGGTTCTCAGGGAATCCGAAGATGCAGACCTTCAAGCATACACCAGGGTTGAGCCCCCCGTCCTGGCTGCACGCACAGCCCGGGCATCGATGGGTGAGTGAGGAGGTGTGGGAGGGGTTCCCGGCTCTCTGCGGTGCCCAGGGGACCTTTCCAGGTTGCTGGGAAGCAGCTCCGGGTTGCAGGGCGGGAACGTGCCCTTCCCCCTCCGGCAAACTTTCGGCCGCCGCAACGGAAGCAGGAACTCGTGAACCACAAACCCAAGGCTAAGGGCGAGCTGCGGAGCCTCGGAGCCACTAGCAGACCCGCCGCTGCTTCCCGGAACGTGCGGGGCTGCCTGGACCTCGGCCTCCCGTTGCCAGGTAAAGGCTCTTCATCGTTCCCCCGCCCCCAGCCCCTGCGGACGCATCACCACCTGACCACCTTTCCTGGGGCGAGGTTCCCCCGCCCGTCTGGGAGCTCGGACCACCGGGTTGGAGCGGGGAGGGTCTGAGCGGATGCTGTTGACCTCTGTATCTCCGAAGGGGGTACCCGGGCAAGCCGGCTGCTGCGGCAAAAGAATCATTTCGTGAGCCCCGAGTACTTCTT